CCCCAAAACCCCAAAACCCCAAAACCCCAAAACCCCAAAACCCCTTTTTCAAAGATAAGAATTGAATTAGCTACATATTTATCTGTCTTTTCTGGGAGTCTGGCTTCTGAACTTCCTTATCCCATCCTCTGTGCTGTTGAAGAACTCTCTTCTCGGGTGGTTGGAGTCGGGATTCATGTTGGTGCCTGGGCTGTTTTGAACTAATGGTAAGTTGTTACGGAGAAGTCTTGAATTTCCTTCAGAAGCACCGACTCCACTTGAGGCTAAGCCCACATCTCTGATTACTCTTGCAGTATTTTCTATAAGTTTTAGGTTAAAATTGAAAAATATGGTGATGGATAACTGTCGTGATAGATACTAAAGTCATTATATTCATATTTTGGGATAAATACATAAAATTGAAGGAATCTAGCTCCTATCCGATCTTAAAATCTTTCGAAACTATACAAAATCTGGTGACTGGGTACTGTGTGAGATTTCTAGGCTAATCCTATCACAGAGCCTAATTAGATCCCCTACTTCTTCAACAAAATTTGTATGAGAAAACTATTCCGCTAAGCTGGAGTTCAAAACATAATTTCAAAGTGGAGACGAAAAATTTCTGAAATGTGAAGAATTTTTCTAATTTAATATAAATTTGGGAAGAATAAATGTCAAATAAGGGAATTACGAAGTTTCGTACTAGGCAATGGTAAAGTGTGGTCACTCTCTTCGATAATGTGATCTGATGATAGTATGTTTGTCTTGCTTTGGTCCTTGTGAAGATCATCAGTGCTGAATGTCTGAAGCATCTTTGAGAATCCTTGCCCGATACTGTGCAGGTTCATGTTCATCTTCTTTCTCTTTTGAAGTTGATGAGGTAATTTCTTCCAGTTGAAGAATTCAGTGCTCGTCTGTTCCAGATTGTTCAAGTCTCTCTCACAGTTTGCACACTTGAATCCCATCAGAGGCTTCTTCAGCAAACTCACTTCATCTTTGTCGGTCTTGTCTTCAACAGCCCTGTCTTTCTCGATGGTCTTGACCACTCTGTCGTGCAGCTTCGAGATGCTCTGCAGGTCAGTCCTCAGCTTCATGATTTTCTTGTCGAGTCCAAAGATTTTGTCTCTGAGCGAGCTTTCGAGTGCTTCGAGGTCTTGCTTGTCTAGCTTGAGGGGCAGTCTCTGGTACTCGATGGCAGCTAGTTTGTCCATGAAGTCTATCACAATGTTAGAGTATGAATGTTTGAGTCAGAGATTAATGATATTGTGACACTAACAGACAACCAAAGTCTGAATACTCTAACATTCACAGTGACACAAAATGATACAAAAGGTGCAACACTTACCGTGCTTGTGTGCTTCCACTTTGCTCTCGAGCGCCTTGACAGCCTTGATGGCTTCTTTGAAGTCTCCATCTCCACCTGTGATAGCTGGCTTTGCGTGGTAGTCTTTGAGTTGGTTCTCAAGCGCTCCGATCCTGACTTCACACAGGTTGGCCTTCGAAATGGTTTTGACAAGCTGCTTCTCCTGCTCTTCGATGATGGCGTCCACTTCTTCTTTGATGAGTTCAGTCAGTTTGTTGGCGTCTTTCATCCGCTTGTTGAGGTCTTCTTCGGACTGCTCCATTTTGCGTTGGTGAGAGACCAGCATTCTTTCGAGAGCCTGGTACCGAGCACTATCGTCAGAAGCAACAACAGGGTCAGGAACTTTGATGCTGTTGACTTGGTCGAGCAGCTGCTTGAAGTGGGCATCGAGTCTGTCAACATCTTTGGCAAGGTCATTGTGGTCCTTTGAGCTTGCTTTGGCATGAGTGTCTTTAAGCAGCTTTGCTAAAATGTCATCGTGCTCTGCGATGTCTTTGTCGACCTGGCCCAAGCGATCATTACAGACTTTGTATTTCTGTGTTAAGTCTTTGATATCTCCTCTACTGGTCAATACACGAAATACCTGATGGAAGTGATTGTGGATTCTCCTATTGAGGAACCACCCATGCTCAAGTTTTCGATTTTATTTGAGTCTCTTGATCAGTTCAGCCTTGAGATCATGGACTCTGTCTGAACAATTTTTCAAGAGTTTATCAGTGGTCTCTTCAAGAGCCTACTAATTACACATTGAAATACCTTGGTTAATGAAGACTGGGTCTCAACTACCTTCTTTTTATTAGCCTTTGCAATCTGAGTCGCTTCTTCAATTCTTTTATAAATATTTTCTTTTTCCTGAGCAAAGGCATCTGGTTTTTCCTCCTTTAAATTTGTGGAAATTAGAGAATACTTCTGCTTTAACTGCTTAAGTTTCTTCTCTAAACACTTGTGCTCTTCATCATAAGTTTGAGGAGGATTTCCAAGCAGAGGATCCACTGTAGAGAGCTGTGATTTACTTAATTTATTATCACTTTCCCTCTTTTGCATCTTCAAAGACTGTGTTTCATTTTGGTCATGAAAATTATGAAGTTCTACAAACGCATGAATACCTTGCTCTAGTTGGGTCATTCTGTCTCCTATTTTTGAGCATTTCTTATTAAGCTCTTCCTTGTAGTACTTCATAGTGCCATCATCATGCTTTGCCTGGAACAATTCAGTCATTTCTTTATGCAAATCATCCAATTTCTTCGCAGTAGCGTGAAGATCTTTGTAAATCTGTGCGAAGGAGTAGTCTTCAGGATTGACAGATCCTATAGGATGAGGAGTATGCAATACCAATTTTGCACTGAACTATAACGAACTTCTCTTGACTTTCAAGGATCACATCCTTGCAATCCTCTAATTGCTGGCTGACATCTTCATTCTGGTTCTTGAGGCTTAACGGACTTATTATGGAAACTTACTGGGCCATCTGCTGCTCGGTCTCGAAACATTTATTTGAAAAGAGTGTCAATTGCTAGCTTCATTGGGTCGAAGTTGTAGGTGATTCCTATTAGTTTGTCTGGGTTTATCAGTTTCTTATACTTCCTATAGCCTGTATAGTCAATTTCTTCGTCCTTGTAATCTTCTCTAAAGCTACTAGCTCTCGACATAAAATTTTATAATATTTATTCAAAAAATTTGGCCAAATTAGGGGTTTTGGGGTTTTGGGGTTTTGGGGTTTTGGGGTTTTGTGGG